ACCTCGCTCCCGCTTTCCGCAACTAACCGTGCGCCAACAAGGGCAAGCTGTCAGCTGCTCTCGCAGCCACGCGTCGTTCCCTCCCCTCGCGCGCTTGACACCGCCCTCTCCACACACACAGCGAGCGACTTTCAAAGACTGCCTTGCAGATCAACATTGCAGTTTCCATTATATTATTGTTTATTCTTTCCAAGAAAATAATTTTATATATATATTAGGACTTCCTCGGCTTGGGCGCGATTCAATTTTTTCTCTAGGTGATAGACCATAAATAATAGTAATAGTAATAGTAATAGTAATAGTAATAGTAATGATGATGATAATAATAATAGTAATAATGATGATTTGAAATTTCACAGCAGCAGAAGAAGATTAGCAAGTTTGTTAGAGGAAAAGAGTCGTTAGTATCGTCGGATTTCTAACGTTTGTGAGAATCGCGTTGCAAGTGTCGGGCGGTGTGAGTGTAGGAGCATGAGAGAAAGGGGGGGAGGGTGGATGGGGAGGAAGGATAAAAAAAAAAAAAGGAAGGGGGCGCGATGTTGTTTATGATGCATATCCAAAAGAAGAATTATCACACCATCAAGAGATGACGGGGCGATAGAGAGATAGGCTCAGGTGAAAATCAAGAGAAGGGGGAAAAAGCAACCCACTAACTGGCTTTACTCTCGAATTCGTAATGCAAGATTTGCCATCATGTATGTATATTGTAAAGCATCTATCTAAACCCTTCCCTCCATATTGACGGTACTAAATAAATAAATAGATATATATATATATATTCATCGGACATTACACATATCTCATAACACATGTCTCATAACACATTATAGAAGCAGACCACGCAAAATCCAAGCTTATACCAGCCCCAGCCCCAGCCCCATCGGCACACCGAGCCCGGCCGGCATGATCCATTATGCCATCCATCATCAGTGGAAAACCTTCTTCTTGACACTCGAGAACAAGGAGCTGAGCGCGCTCTTCGGTTTCTCTCTCTCTCTCTCTCGCTCTCGCTCCTCCTCCTTTTCACGCCTGTGTCGGTGTCGATGCACTCTCTCCTTGCTTCTAGGACCCTCGCCGTCTCGAACGTCCTCAACGTCCCGTTCCCTTCGCGACCTCTTACGTCTCTCAACGCTGGGCTGAGGGGTTTTCTCATCACTAACCTCACAGAGCTTCTCTGCAGCTGCCGCTTCCTCGGCCCTCTTCCGTCTCCTCTGCTCTCGCCTCGCTCTCCTCTCCTCGTCCTCCTTCTCCTGCTGTCTCCTCGCCTCTCCCGCAACCTCGGCTCTAGCAAGCTGAGTCGCTTTGTCGGACTCCCTTCTCGCACGTCTCGCTTCTCTCTCCTCAGCAGATCTACGTTTCTCCCTCTCCCTATCTTCCTCCTCTTTATCCCTACGATGAGAGCGAGTATGGTGACTCGTAGTTTCCCGTCTTAAGATTCTCGGCCTCTCGTGGTCCAAGGAGAATCGAGGCCGCTCCATGATAGGCGCCTTGACTTTCTCGACCACCTCTTTATAATGAGGCTTCTCGGATGCGATGAACGGGGCCTTAACGACACTCACGCCTTTCAGATCCATTAATTTGCGTTTGTCGCTATCAGCTGTGCTGTGTCTCCTCGAGGAAGATAGCCGTCTCGAGACTGGTGGCACAGTGGCATGTGCAGTGTTTCCAGAGCCAACCGACTTAGAGAAATCAAACTCAGCCTCTCTGGCCCTGGCGCGTTTTTCCTCCTTTCGCCTCTCGTGGGCAGCTTGCTCTTCGGGCGTTCGCTCACTGCGGTGCTTGTGCGAGCCCGAACTTCCAGCACTTACTCCACTATCATGGCGGCTTGGCCTGGAAGATCTAGAAGACGTCTTGGGCGACGACTCTCTCTCTCGGCGCTTGTGGTGAGGACGCTCGTCACGAGGGATATCTTTGCTAGAACTACTCCGGTGATGACCCGAGCGCGAATGTCGCGATGATCGATGCCTGTGCTTCTCTCTCTCGGATTTAGCAGACTGAGGAGCGTCGCCTGGGCTTGGTTCTTCGGCAACCTCTGGAAGCTGTTCAGGTTCTTCGACGATTGCTTTGTCGGTCACGGGTTTGTCGTCAGAGAGGACTTCAGCTGCGACAGCTCCAGCGGCGATGGCTGCTGCTGCCCCAGTGGCAATTGGAAGTGCATCGTCCAAAACGTTGCTCTTGTCTTCCACGACTTCCTTGCTATCGTCTTCCTGTGAAGGGTCAACGACATCAGGAGGGCTCTCGACTTCAGGTTCAGCCTAAAAAGAGTCAGTCATTTTAGCCTTGGATATTGCTGGCTGCAAGTCTTACTTCTTTAACCTCTTCAACCACTTCAGGAGTAACCTCAGTTTCTGGTTCATCCTACGTAATGTCAGCCATACGGAACGTAAAAAGTTATGGCTATAAATTTTACCTCTTTCACTTCTTCTACAACCTCAGCAGTGGCTTCGGGAGTATCCTCGGGTGTAGCCTCGGGAGTATCTTCGGGAGTGGCCTCGGGAGCATCTTCGGGGGAATCTTCGGGAGCATCCTCGGGATTGGCCTCGGGAGTGGCTTCAACTTCTGGTTCAACCTTCCAGGCAATCAGTCATCATATCACAACGAAACATAATTCCATGAAACTTACAACGGCTTCTGGCTCTGCTTCAGCTGGTTCCTCAGCGGGAGCTGGCTCTTCGACAGCAGCTTCTGGCTCTGCTCCAGCTGGTTCCTCAGCGGGGCTGGCTCTTCGACAGCTGGCTCTTCGACAGCAGCTTCTGGCTCTGCTTCAGCTGGTTCCTCAGCAGGGGCTGGCTCTTCGACAGCTGGCTCTGCTTCAGCTGGTTCCTCAGCAGGGGCTGGCTCTTCGTCCTTCTGCTCGTCCTCTGCTGGAGTTGGTAACTCCGAAGGTGGCTCTTCGGGTTTTTCTTCGTCGGCCTGGAAATAATTAGCCTACAACTTCACGAATCTTACTCTTAACATGGAATTCTAACCGGTACTTCTGGCTCATCGACAGCCGGCTGTTCCTGCTCCTCCGAGGCTGCAACTTCGGCCTCCCCTTCATCTTCTTCCACAACAGGGTGTGTCTCGGTAGAGTCAGCAGGCGTCTCCTCGACCTACGTCAGATAGATTAGCTAAATGTATCCTACTCATTCTGATATTTTGTGCACAAGTCGCAATTGCCCTGAAATTTAGAAGTTCCCAAGTCCGTGCGCAGCACAAAAATTTGGTACCTCATCGGACGATCTATAGTGAGAGAGATAGAAATGTGGCAGGTGAGGCGGCTGGGAAGCACTGCTTACCACTTCAGGGGCGGCCTCTTCTACGACTGGGGCCTCAGCTTCTTCCTTTGGTTCCTCGGAAGGAGCTGCTGGCTCCTCCTCAGGCGTAGACTCCTCGACCTATAGATGTCAGTTTTTTTTTTCATACCCATGGCTTGTCCATTGACTCTCGTACCACCTCAGGGGCGGCCTCTTCTACGACTGGGGCCTCGGCTTCTTCCTTTGGTTCCTCAGAAGGAGCTGCTTGCTCCTCCTCAGGCCTAGACCCCTCGACCTAAACATGTAAGTCGCTTCACATCACCATCAGCCATCATGCATACCTCTTCAACCGGAACTACGACCTCTTCGCTATCAGCTACGGGGACCACTTCGTCTGGCTCGTTCTCGGGATTGGCAGGCTCCTCCTCCTCGGGTTTCGAGGCCTCGACCCGGTAAAATTAGCTGAGCTCCTCTAAATTCTAAAGACGTCGACTTACAGGTTCCTCGGGCGAGGGTTCACCCTCAACCACGATCGATTCTTCGGCTTCAACAACAGGTGCCGGGTCCTCACTGGCAACTTCTGCTGCTTCCGGCTCAGTAGCTTCGTCGGCGTCCTTTGGAGTCTCTTCTTCGGTGCTCTCGGCAGCTTCTTCGGCTTGCGGTTCTTCCGAAATTACAGGAGCTGGTGTGTCACTCTCTGTTGAAGGTACTTCTGGCTCTGTTGGTGCCGTCTCTTCTTCTTTCTGTTCTTCGGCCTGAGAGACATTAGGTTCTAGATATCCTTACGTAATACCGGAGTTGCATGAGCGAACTCCGGGGAATCGAAGGATAAAGAGCATTACTCACTGCAGGCGTAGCCAAATCCTCGGTTACAGGCTCAGATACAACTTCAGGAGCCTCGGGGGTCTCCTCAACCTATTCAAGTCAGCACTTCGCTTCACATGTGTGTAACAGGTAGGCAGGCTCCTTGATGCAAGAACGCAGGAAGAGATACACACCGCTGGCGCAGGCTCTCCATCAACCTGTTTTGGCTCATCTTCCGCCTGCAATACATTAGCGGTAGCTCAAAGGGCCCAATATGGTTGGTGAGTTGAGTAGAATAACAAGTGACCAGGCAATCTGACAAAATTCATACATGAATGAAGGGAAATGTACTCACAGTCTCGGTAGCGATTTCAGGGGAATCTTCGGCCTATTTTTAGTGAGCCAGTCGCTCGGGAAGGATATGCATGAGTAGTACGGAGAAGTTGCATGTGCAACTTTGTGCTTCCCAGTCTACCTTTTGGCAACACCATAGGGAATGAAACTCTCTACTTACCACAGCAGGAGTCTCCTCGGGAGCCGCAATGTCAGGACTCTCAACATTCTGATTATCGTCAGCTTCTCGGATCATTTCTAAACAGATGGGTGTTGGAGCATTTGGCCCCACAAAGAAACGAAATGAAGAATTGCTTACGGCCTCGGGCTCTGGTTCTGGGGTTGCCTCTTCAGATGCTGGCTCAGGTGCTGGCTCAGGTGCTGGCTCAGGTGCTGGCTCAGATGCTGGCTCAGTAGTCTGTTCGACCGGCTCGCTGGTTTCTTCTGAAGATTCGGCGGCCTAAGAGATTTGTCAACTACAATGTCACATACGATGAAAGGACGCAGGGATCTGCATGACTTACTGCTTCTGGTTCTGTAACAGCCTCTTCGACTACTGGATCCAGATCAGCTGGCTCGCTGGTTTCTGTAATTTCGGCAACCTAAGGATCCTCGGTCAGCCAACCCTCGCATTTTGACGAATCGATCAAACAAAGGTCATAACTTACTGGTTCAGGGCTTGCATCTTCAGCAACAGGCTCAGAAACGGGCTCATCAGCTGCTTCAGTCACTGTCTCCCTGGCTTCCTCTGGAGCCTCAGCGGCCTAGGAAATCCGTTAGCCATCCAGCCGATGCAATCCGGCCGAAAAGCACAATCCTGAGTCACTTACTGCTTCTGTTTCCGGAACTCCTTCTTCGGCAATATGCTCAGACACAGTCTCAGCAATCGGCTCACTGACTTCTTCTGGGGTCTCCGCAGCCTAACAGATCCGTCAGCGCCCCCCACACAGTGTGCCCGGTCGACGAGAGCAAGAAATTATGAATAACTTACTGGCTCTGGAGTGGGCTCTTCAGCCACTGGTTCAGAGACGTCCTCGCTCGGTGTTCCCTCAGCTGGCTCACTGACTGCTTCAAGAGCCTCGGCAACCTGAAACGTATGAGCCTCACTCTTACTCCGCCCATCGGATTGGGCAAAACATAGTCGGAAATTGCTTACCGGCTCTGGCTCTGCGTCTGGCTTCGGCTCTGCCTCTGCCTCTGCTTCTGGCTCTGTAGAAGGTGCTTCTTCTGGAGTCTCAGCGGCGGGAATATCTCCTTCCTTCTATCTTTTTGTTAGCTACAGAGACGAGAAATGGCAGGATACGCTACTCACACTAGGCTCCAACTCTGGTTCAGAGGTGGACGTTTCTTCCGGTGCAGCAGCAGGAGCTTCCTCTTCTTCCTAGAAAGTTTTTAGGAGTGTCCGAGACGTGTAATCAATCAAACCAGACTCAAAACTGAACATGATTACATAATACAAATTGTACGTACGGCTTGTTCTAGATTCGGGGTACTCGTCTCGTCCACATTTGGTACTCCTTCTTCTTTCTATCAAAACTTAGCAAGTCAAAGGTTATTGATGTGAGAGTCTACTCACCACCGGCTCGGATTCTGAAGCAGGTGACCCTTCTACGACAATGGGTTCTTCCTCTTTCTACACGGAGTCAGCGTCGAATTCGAGTTTTTGGGGGGGGGGGGGGGGGGGTAAGATCTTACGACTGCTTCAGGTTCTGGATCCGGCACAGATGATTCTTCGTCGACAGGAGCCGGGGTTTCTTCGCCCTTTATCATGTTAGTGCCATAGCCAGATGTGCTGAGACAGAAAATTTGATCTTGGCTGGGCAGGGACTTTCTCCTTGCCACAACGCCAGAAATGCTATTGGGACTTTGCAAAAACGTGAGGGACGACAAATGAGACTTACAGCGGGAGTCTCTTCTGCAGGGGCTGGTGTCTCATCAACCTGTTCGACTTAGCTTCCAAACATGCCCGAGAAAAATAGTCACAAGATTTGGACCTAGCAAACAACCAAGGAAAGACTTACTACAGGTTCTGGGCTTGTCTCCTCAGCAGCAGCAGCTGGAGTCTCTTCTTCCTAGTATAATTCAGTACATGATGACAAGAGTGCAATGAAACAACGCAAAATCGAAATATTTCTCCCCCAACTATTTATGGAGGAATTCGACTTGAGAGTAGAGGGGTAAATGTCATCGGCTTACAGCTGAGGCTAAGGCGGGTTCTTCTATCGGTGCTGGCGTCTCCTCAATCTGCAATACATGCGTGGTCAGTCCGTGTTTGCAGATCAAGGATGCCAGCTACGGGTAGATGATATAATGAGATGAATTCTTACCACAGGATCTGGCGTGGCTTCTTCACTTGCCGCAGTTGGTGCTTCTTCTACCTATTCGAAGATAAGCTCCAAATTTACCCTATTGTCGTACCAAGAACTTACCACTGGCTCGGGCCCAGGACTAGCTTGTTCAGCCTCTGGAGCAGCGGCGGGGGCATCTTCGACCTGTATATTGTCAGTCCACAAATTGAAGCCCTACTTGGATTGAGAGCTCGAATTGGCGACAAGCGCGACTGTTAGATATTGGAGTCCTTCCCAATACGAAGGCGCCGACATAGTACAGACAGCAATGGAAAGAAGGGAGCATACCGCCGGCTCAGGACTAGCTTCCTCGGTGGCTGAAGCTGGTGCATCTTCGACCTACACATTGTGAGTGTGAGAACACGCAGGCGCCTTGAGCAACATGATCCGTGTCGTGTCACAACAATTCAAAATAGAACGAAACTTACCACTGGATCACTACTTGCTTCCCCAGCACTCGGCTCTTCAGCACTCGGCTCTTCAGCAGTTGGTTCTTCAGCACTCGGTTCATCAGCACTTGGAGCCGGAGCTTCTGGTTCTTCTGCCTACAAAAAAAGGTAAGTGGATGCAGAGGCCATGCAGAAATAGTGTTTTTACGCACTACAGGCTCAGGACTTGTCTCCTCGGGAGCAGCGGGAGGCTCTTCCTTCTTGGAATTAGATCAGGGCAATTCAAGGTGATATGCAAGCTTACCACAGGGGCTGGCACCTCTTCGCTCTGGCTTGGTTCGTCTGTTGCTGGTGCCGAGTCCGCATCGGGCAATGGCTCGCTCTCCACAGGAATCTCTTCTTCCGCTTCGGCAGCAGGCTCGGGAGATTCGTCTAGTCCAGGAGAAGCAGATGGGTCACCCTCAGCTGGGGGCTCGACTGCTGGCTCGGGTACTGGGTCGGAATCGGCAGCGAGACTGGTCTCGGTCTCCCCAGGACTATCCGATGGTAACGAGTCGTCTGTTGGTGGAGGTGTAGGCTCGTCGGCGGGAGAATCTGCCATTACTGGCACAATTGTTGAACTCTTTCCTCCTTTTTCCTTCCCCTTGCCTCCCTTCTGATTCTTCTTGTCCTTCTTGCCTTTCCCCCCTTTCTGCTGCTTCTCGGGTTTCTCAAGCTCTACCTCCTTCTCGAATACTGGTTCGGGTTCCCAAGACTTGTCTTGCTTCTTTCCCTTCTTCCCTTTCTTGCCAGGCTTCGGTGCTTCTTCGTCGAATTTCTCAGCTTCGGTTGGCTCTTCAGGTTCTTTCTCTGCCTGTTTGGACTTCTTGTCTTGTTTCTTTTCCTTCTTTGCGTCTTTCTTCGATTGTTTGCTGTTCTTCGCCTTAGATTTAAATTCAGCAGTGAGTGGAGCGATGTCAACAGCGATATGAGCAGTCTTCGAATCGGTTGATCGGGAGATCCCGTCATCCAAACTCTGTTCCTGAGAATCGATTGCGGGTTCAGGGCCAACTGAGGGCAGACTAGAAGCATCATCAGGGGATTCTGATGCGACAGGCTGGGGTATGCTGGCCTCCTCCTCATCTAAAGGTCCGCCACCACCGTCATCATCCTTCAATCCCCCGCTATCCATAGTTTCTTGCACCTCGGTGTCAGCCTTGGGTATGGCAGAGGCAGGGCTATCGTCGTCTTGGTCGTCCCCTTTCACGGAAGCATCATCAGAGTCGTCTGAACAGCCGAATTAGCATCTCCTAAGCATAGAGACCACAATCACCAAAGTCAATTCAAACAATCATCTTTGATTGTAATTTTCATGCAACATCTATAAACGAGGCCCAAAACATGGATTATCCGGGTCGATGCTAATAATGACCGATTGGCGAAAAACATACCAACTACTCGATCTTCAGAAGAACTCCCTTTCTCGCACGCTGCAAGCAAAGCGAGATCCTTATCCGTGCCCGTAAATGTCTTGGGACGGCCGTATCTCGTTTGTTTTGTAGGCTCAAATTTCGAGGTCTGTAGTTCAAATTTCTGCGTTTGGACTTCGTATCGTCCCGTCTGGACAGAGGACGGGTCATAAGTAACTTGTCTCCGGTAGGGACAAAAAGAAACGGGCTCGGGATCGTCTTCCATACTGGAATGATTTACCGCTTTCACAGGCAGTTGTGGAGCTTCACTTGAGCGTATGGGGGTATCCTTCTTATTCCCTTCTACCATGTCAACAGCTTCTCGGCAATATGCGGGCACCCAGTCGCGGGGGAATTTTCCGACGAGTGAGTATTCTCGTCAGGTACCCAGCGCCCAAAGCCAACCAACGTGGAACGCGAGTGGAGTATTGGGCTCTGGGCTCCTTGATGAAAAAGGCTTAAGAAGTGATGATAGTGTACTGATCGAAAAACAATGATGCGGTTGAAAACTGTCATCAGAATGACAGGAATCAAAAAAAGCTGCCATTAGCACCGACCGAGGATATGAGTGCCGAGTCAACTGAGTCGACTCGACGTATTCCGGCCCACACGTCCGCGGGGACAGAAGCCCCCCACGAGAGGATGAGAGGATTACTCGACGAGCAAAACAATCAGCATCGTGCTCGCTACCTATTGGAGCAGAGAAAGGGACTGGCGCCACGTCGCAGGGAAATAGTCTCCTAGTGATCAGTGCCGCGGTCTGGCAACACATCAGATGCGGCCCAACGATGCAAGGCCACAGATTGTGGATAATCTGCCTGCGCGGCAATCTGGCTGGCGACTTGCTGGCCTGCAGGATGGCATGCACAGTTGGTCTTTCTTGTGCGGTGTGCAGTGTGCAGTGTGCAGTGTGCAGTGCGCAGTGTAAAGTATACAGCATGCAACACAGTACAGAGTATGAATCCAGTGTGCATCCAGCATACAGGATGCGGAGAGGATACGGACCTCTTGCATCGTGCCAGGGGAAGCTGTTGGGTGGATGAATACGGTACCGGTACCTGTGTTTTTGATGCTTTTAATAGGTAGCGGGCCCCAAAAGTGGTGGAAGTCAAGTCCCACTATCAGGCTTATCAGGCTTTGATCTTGGATCGTGGATCGTGGATCTTGAATTCCTTTGATTTGCTTTTCCTGCTGGCCTAGGTAAACCCGAGGGAGGGGTGCCTTGAACTCCCGCTCCCGTGGCCCACCGGGTGGGCGTGCGTGCATTGGAGCTTTGGTGCATTGATGCATTGGTGCCATGGGGGGCAGTGGTGCAGTGGTGCAGTGGTGCAGTGCTACGTGTTCGCCTTGATGCGAGTCTTAGGTAATGCGAATCTTAATGCAGAGTCTTCCTTGGGCGATGCCAGTGAGGGCCCGAGACGTGGAAGAGCATGGGTTGCGGTTGCATCGACAACCCCAGACAAACTGCTGGCTCTTGGGATCCGTTCCGTACCGTACCGGTAGATATGAAGTGGATGTGAATGTCGTGGGTCGGAGGAAGAAGAAGATGAAGATGAAGAAGGTCACCACCACTGTGTTATCAATGATCAATTGGAGCCCAAATGCTTCAGGGGTTGTTCGTTTAGCGAGCTCGTGACGAGGATACGGAGTGATCCTTCTCGGATAAGTGAGCCACCTCACTCCATCTGCGTCATTTATTGTTATCCAGATCTACTACGTAGGTACCGGTAGTGGCATGGCCATGGATCTCAGAACTTTCAGAAGATGCACGACGATGTATGAGAAGTGTCGGTTCCTATTATAGATCTATCTGACTAGTGTACATCCAAGCCGGCAGGGCGCTGTGGTCGGTCACATCCGGATACGTGCTTACCGAGTACACACACAGTACACCACCTAAGGTACCGTACTGCAGCACAACATATTCATAGTTTGGGAGGGAAACCTGGAGTACGGCAGCATTTGTGCCAGAACCTGTGTTTCAGATGCAGTAGAACACAGCACACCCTCAATTGATCACCTTTAATTGATCACCTTCAATTGAGCGAGATCTACCCGCACCTAAGGTGCCCGTTCGTCCCCGAAGGCTTTGGCGGTGTGCAGATATGGTACAGAGTCTGGAAGAACTGGAAGAGGCCGATCTAGAGGACGCGGTGGCACATGTGGAAATCAGTCGGCGTGGAAAGGGGTATTCCCCGTATTGAAAAAGAAGTACAGCAGATCCAAGAACGCCGGCTCGGAAAAGTGGGTCAGGAATCTTGAAAGACGCAGTGTGGAATCCCCAACGCAACCCATAACCCCTCAGCAACATGCAGGTCCCAGAAATAGCGCAGGAGTCGTAGTAAATAAAAAGAACGCGGTAACCGTGTCGTTGTCACGGTTACATAGCCATCTCGGCTTGTAGTTTCCGAAGCTCTTCCTCCTCGTCTTCCTCCTCGGCATGCACCGGTGCCTTGCCTTTGACTGTAAGAGTGGTTAGATGGGCGTAGAGAAGAAGGACTTATGCGCAACTCACTTTCGCCGTTTGCAGCCGACGGCAATCTGTGAACCTCGTCGGACACAGGAACAGTTCCCGTCTTTAGCATCTTGTTATCGAGATGCTCTTGTTCCAGCTCGGCCAACTCATCATCCAACTCGGTCTCATCGATAGGTTCACCGATAGGAGCACTTGTAATAGCTTGGGCGATCTCCTCTCCCAACGCATGCTGCTCTCTGAGTTTCTCCCTGGCGCCAAAATGTCAGCTTTCCCATTCCAACAGTGTGAGGTATCTCGACTATAACATACATTGTCTCGTCTACTTTGTCGATATTGAGCTTGCCATGGATCTGCTGCATAGCTTCACCTGCACGCTCCATCGCCGCCAGGGTCTCTCTATTGATATTTGCCGCCTCGATCGAGTATATTTGTTGCTCCAGTGTGGCTACTTGTGCCGTTGTCTGCTCAAGCGTGTGTTCGTGTTGCTTCTTCCGACGTAAGGCGGCTTTCGCGGCTACAGAGAAGTGTCAACAGCCGCTCAGATCCACAATAGTCCATCTGTACAGGTAGTCCTTCACTGCAACTTCGCCCTTTCTTAGAAGCTCCATAGCGAATTCGAGTGGCCTACGTACCATTCTTGTTGGTGCTCACATTCTTCCTAGCAATAGCATCTTGCTCATCCATCTGGTTCTGTAAATGTCTCTCCCGCTTCTGCAGCATCTCCAGCTGTGATCTCAGCCCGAGGATGGCGTTCTTGGGGGTATCCTTTCTCTTCTGGGCGCTCTGCCCGCCAAACCAGCCCCACACTCCGGACATCTTGTAATATGTGATAGTTGAGCCTCTTGATTTGGATACAGATGGACCGCTAAGCCCCGAGACAAAATCAAGTGATCTGCAGATATTCTTCGATTTTGGTGGGGGGGGAGCCTTCTCGGTGGTCGAGATTCGCTATCGGAAGGCTGGTGATGGTGGGGCAAGATTTCCTGGACAAAGAGAGTTTTCAGAGTACAAGCTGACAGAGAATATCGCGAGGGTTTGGTTTTGAATAGTCGAGAGTTGATTAATGCCTGGGGTTTCTTTCGTGGCGCGGTCTCTAGGTAATATGTTCTTGTTCTCGCGGCCTGTGGTCGTTGAGGGACCAGTGTCTCCGATGACGAACTAAGGCTCAAGTCCGGCTATTCCTGATACGGATTAGCTCATATTTTGCACGTGGTATATATCAACTCAAGCAAAGGCGACCAGATTTTCCTATTCCAGCAACTTTGATATTTGACTCCAAATTTCATCACTCTGGCATATCTATGCCCTTGATTTTTATACTATGGCAGGAGTGCAGAATGGTCCTATCCCGACCAGATTGACGTTGCTATCAAACCTTCGCAACTTCTCGCCAGGCTCCAAAGTCCGGTTCCTAGGATGGTGAGCACATTCCATCTGGGGACAAAACATAGTAGTACTGTATTATCTTACTATCTGCATGCGAAATTCTTGCAAGAGGTTGGCCTGGTCCGCGGGGAACCATACGGCGTCAGCTTCTCTATGTTTGCCTCCTCAGCCCGTTATGTCTAAGTAGACATAAAGTCGTGTCAGGATTATGCTGAGGTTCGTTAGTGTAACAAAATACTCTACGCAAACAGCGATCCTTACTCTAGAGCACAACCATCCACCAGGAAACCTTCTCAAGGCTCAGGTGGATGTCAGGCTTCTCGTCAGCACCTTGAAGTCTAATGAGACTCAAGTCGGCGAGTGGGTCCATGTGATGGGATATATCGCCAACGACCAAAAGCCAAATGGAACCACCAACAGGAACCTGGATGTTGGTATTCAAGCGGTGGTTCTGTGGTGTGCAGGGCCACTTAGTCTCACGGGCTACGAAAGGAGTCTCGATCAGAGAGCGATAGACGAACGAAAAAATACTGGAACTCGATGATCTTGAGAATGCTGCCGAAGAAAAAATTACAGCGCTCTGGACCGAATCATTACCCCTTCATGCCCGAAATTTCCCTTGCTGGCCTTCAAAAGTCTTCCTGGCCACAATTCCTTTGCTCCTACGTAGACGTCAAGCTCCACCCAGGACTCAGGAACGCCCCAACTGGTATTTGCTGATGTTGATCGGCGCACTAAAGTTGAATCCATGGGCTTTATCACCACCTTCCCACCATATCTGATAGAAATCATCTTTGACCCAGTTTTTCGTTTGACAAGCCACAAACTTGTTCCTACCGCGGAATTGCAAAGTTCCATTCGCATCAAAGTTGATGGGATTTCTGTACTTCTACAACAAACTGGGTCCCAGGTCTGGACATGAAGGCTGCATCGAGTCCCGCCTCTGCGCTCGCTTAACCAACTCACCATGAAGGATGTTCATGTGTTACAAGAATCGGGATTTACAACAGTATACCACATGAACGATCAAGCCTTTCAAAGCTACAAGTCGTTACTTTGGGGCATTGCCTATTCGTATAGCGTTTGGTCAGGTTGGTCCTTGCAATCCCCCACCTTGGACTCTCATGAAATCCGTATTCAAGAGACCAGTCAAATTTCTCGATCACTCACGTGTTCACTACATCGGTCACAACATTACACAAGTACAAAGGCTTTCGAAAGTGGCGTCGTTTCTCCCAAAGCTTAGGCCCGTCTTATTACACTTCCTACAACCTCGTCGGCCCGGATGCATTGCGGGTATATACCGTACCTTACCCAAAATTTGAGCCTCCTTGAAGATAAAGCCAATGACGGCTCTGCGGTGACGCGTATTCTTGAGCCGCAAAGCCACCGTCTCCATTCCGCATGGCTTGTTACATGCCCCTTTTCACTGACTGAAGCGCGCGATTGAAGATTGGGCGGCCTTGAATGAAGCGTCCGGCGGGCAGATTGATGGCATGTGGTGCAATTGCATCTTTTGCAATCGCCTCACAAATATACTCATACTGATGCCGGGATATACGCATTTCTAAGCTAACAAAAAAAAGCGGGAGGGATCAAATCAAAGGTTAGAACCCTCGAAAAAATGACAGTAGAAGAGGAGTGTCAGTCTGACTCCTATTTATTCCTTCAGGCTTCTGCCTTGGGTCTTGCAGTACCCAGATCATAGCTTTCGTGTCACGACAAGTGCAAGGAAGTTCGCGAATCAACGCCTTAACTCCAAACCTCACTATGGCATTCTAAAGGTGTCGAAACCTCAAATCCGGATCCTTATTTATCCATCACTACTACATGTCACGACGATCGTACCCATCATAGCCATCGTGCCTGCGCTCACCGGATCCGCGCCGAGATCCACGTTCCCTCTCTCCAGAATGGCGGCGACTTCGCGCGAAGGTACTGCTTCGTGGTTATCCTCTCGAAATCAAGATAGGTTGATGCAGAGGACGCTTCAGATCCGGGTCCAGCCCGTTCTTTGATCGAGCGGCTGCTTGCCTTTCCCACACCTCCTTCGACTTGCAGCATATGTCGTCAACCTGGGCCTAGTATCCAATCAATGCCAATGTCCACACTAGCAAAAGCTCCTGATGCTTACATCCGTCAAGCATTCGCCAGGCGTTGTTATCAGGAAGCCATCTTCGCCCTGTCGAATGTGTTAGCAGAAGCAATTGGAGAAAGTAGACTATATAAAGCACCTCGTAAGTGTATGGCCGAACCGTCGCATCTGGGCCCAGAAAAAATACTGGATTTCCTGCGTGATGACCTTTTTGCTGATGTCCAAATTCGGGATCCAATATCTGTTTTTCTCGATCGAAACCATCTTTCATGGAAAACGTATGGATCAGGAGCGACAATCTAACAAAAACATAGGAAGGACCTACGATTTGAGGGAATGGTCTTCGATTCTTTGACGAGAGAGCTTTCTATTCCTGCATTCATGCTGAAAAGGCACCCTCCCAAGTCTCTTATACAACAGAGGCCACGGCACACGGGTGGTGAGATATGTCAATCGACAGTGGCCAGGCGGCATGGAACTCTTGTCTCCTGGCGCCATAAATAGGTGTTTGGGAGCACTCAGATGCGTGTATGAGACTCCGGCTCGATCCACGTATGCAATTTTGCAGCTCTCTGCATTATACGGATGGCTGTGGCAGCGAGGACGGCAGCTAGAGACCGCAGCAGCCCTGGCGAGGCGAACAAACGAGGCGTTGTAATTGGGCGGCTATGAGAGGTAGGGCTCAACACCATCGAAAGCATGCGACTAATGCTCTGGGCCTGCAACATTAATGGGAAGATGAGTGCAGCTGGAAATCATTTCAATAGGAGCGGTGAAACGTTGTCGCTGCATAAATTCCATGCGCTCGAGGTCACAATGAATTGATAAACGGTCACTCTGTCTCCAAGCGAGCGACGGAATACCAAACATATCGCCGTCGAGCGCGTGGTGGAAGATATCCGGTCTGGATCACTCGTCGCTGCTTCCTCTTCGACGACTGCTGCTGGGTGGTCTGAGAACGTGGTCTCTATGTTGCATTGCACTGTGTACAAATATTCCTAGACCCTCCTCCCCGAGCCAGTTTTTTAAGCTCCGAGATATGATAAGCATATATCCAAACAATCTGAATGCGTCGTGACGAGATCAGCTTCATATATATATATATATATATATACACAGGACCAGAATTCCCAGCAAGTTCCGCATCCGATTTTGAGCTTCGTGGATATGTATATATAGACACCATAAACTCTTCTCTCGTTCCTCTCATTACCCATCAACCATCAACCAGAAGAATTTCTCACTCTCAAGAGCGACCCGTTGCCCTTCGCCAAGACCAGCCAGTTAACCGATCAAGCTGATCAAGCAAATCCACACTCAAAACCAATCCCATTGGGGTTTATCTATCTGTCTGTCTGTCTTGGCCATCAAAGAAAGAACATCGGTTCGCAGCATTTCATCCACGGCTATACATACATACCAGCCCAACGAGAATGGAAGACATCCCATCCTACCCCTCCAACAGGCTCCTTCTGCAAGAGACATACGTACGGACATAAACACGTACCTGAAATCTTCATAAACATGTAGTCATGAATAGGGCTGCATTCAAATCAGCTCCTCATTCAAAAACTGCCGGATCGAGCCTCTTGCCCCTTTGCCTCGCCTTTCGCCTACTAATGCATGCATTGCACTTAATTTAGACTACTCCCATCCATCCCCGCTTTTATTTTCTTTTATTTTCTTTTCCTCTCTTTTCGAACTACCGTAGTATCTATCCTCCCCTCCCCTCTCCTCTCTAGCCCTAAAAGCGAGACTAAAAACCAACCAGCTCCGAAGTCTATCCATCTCCCTATCCATCCACCCCCTGACGACATTTACTCCGTATGCTCTCCTTTTGAACGGAAACGGAAATTTAAACAAAAATCCATCCTGCTCCTGGACTTACTTATCTAAATCAGCTAATTTAGCTTAGTTTAGTTTTGTTCGGGTTAGTTTAGCTGGTTTAGTTTAGTTGCGTTACCCTACGTACACCTGCTCTAGCTCTGGTGCGTAAGTAGGTAAGTACGTACGTAAACTAGGTGATTAGGGATCCCCCCCTTAGCCGGACGTACGTACGTACGTACGTACAAATCTATCTATCTATTATATCATGTTGCGGATGATTCACTCCTTGGAAGCTGGTAAGCAAGCAAAGCAAAGCAAGCGGTCATCATAGGTATGCATAGGCATATGCCAGCCAGCCAAACAAGTGAATGAATGAACGCCGACGACGACTGGCCTGGGTGACGTTTGTTTGTTTGTTTGTTTGATTACGTGGTAATTGTGCCTGCTTTCTTTCAGGTTTCACATGCTCAAAGTGTCAAGTGTCAAGTGTCAAGTGTCAAGTGTCAAGTGAATGAATAGCCTTACGGAGTAATTTCAGCCTGGGGAAGAAGAGTTGGTTTAGTCAGCTCTTATTCATGGATTGGTTGTTTGGGAGAAGGGAAGAAAGGAGGAAGGGAAGTTGAAGGAAAGCTAAGGGAAGTTGAAGGGAAGTCAAAGGAAAGTGAGCAGTTTAGGGTGAGATGGACGATAAAAAACACGGATACAGGATAAGAAATAGATGAAAAAGAAATCGTCCCCGGTGCAGCTTACAAAGATTGGTAAATAGATAGCTAGATACATATACACCTGCCTCCAAGAGAAAGAAGAAGCATCTAAACCAATAAACAAATACACAGATAAACTAGCTTCTATAACGATAATAACAACGACAATAAAAACAACAACAATGATAACAATGGCTGGCCTATCTATGAGCCATCCATCCATTTGCATCAATCCATTCCCCTTGTCCATCCAGTGCGGTGCGAAAGCTCCCCGCTTCATATTAGTAAAATATATATAAGAAAGAGAGAGAGAGATTGAAGATAGAGACAGACAGACAGAAAGAATTTGCTCGATCTATGCACGACTAACAATAATAACAGTAACAACATAAGAAAAAAAAATAGAAAAGAAAATAGAGGGTTAAGAAACAAATAGGCAGGCACTTTACGCACAACGCACAAGGTTCAACTACCTCTCCTTAGGTTTTTGTTGAATGAAGCGAGAAAATCAAATGTACTAATTCATTATACTTTTCGACTTTTTTTTCTGCATTCCGTCATATATACAACGATCAATCTCTTCATGCTTACAACCACCCCCCCCCCTCTCCCCCCCCTCCCCGCCTCCCAACGATTTAATGCTACCAAGAACGCGATGCATCCCTTTCCCAATTCCTCGCTTGCACACAGGCCTCCCAAAAGGAACAATTTACGCCTGGCTGGAATATACCTGCAATGCCTGGTAATAAAACAACAAAAATCAAGAGTGCCTTCCGAGAGTCGTGGCAGACTCAGTACCCGTCCTTTCCCTTTTTTTAGCGCCATCCATCCAGTCCGTTAATTAACAGGACCATCCCAAATTCCATATGTCCACCACAGAACTCCTGATCCAGAAAGATGCCTCATGCTTCGTAAAATTCGTTCCGAGCCGCTCTGCTCCCTATCACCCCTCTGCCGTCTTTGTGATGACTGGTAAAAGGTCAGATTTTGTCGTCTCTATCCTGACCTGTTGATTCATTCCCTCGTTCTCCCCTGCCTGTCTCTGTACTACTTGCGGGCCTTCACTCTCAACCTGCGCAGTCTGGCTTGGATTAGACGTATCCGTA